AAATTCAAAATAGATTAAAGATCTAAATGTGCAAACTAAAGCCACAGAAGCCTTAGAAGAAAATATAGAGGTGACACTGTCAGGCCTAGCTTTTAACAATGGATTATCTAATATAATAAAAGCACAAATGAAAAAATAAATAAATAATAACTTTTGTTCAGCAAAAGACCTTACCAAAAAAAAGTAAAAAGACAAGCTACTGACTGGGAGAATATCTTTGGAAACCATATATCCAATAAGAATCTAATAACCAAAATATACACAAAACTTTGACAACTTAACAAAAAGACAACCCAATCATAAAATGGGCAAAGGACTTGAATAGACATTTCACCAAAGAAGACATTCAAATAGCCACCAAACACATGAAAAGATACTCAGCAACACTAGCCATCAGAGATGCAAATCAAAACCACAATGAGATACCATTTCACGCCTACTAGGATGGCTAAGTGAACGAAAAAAACAAAACAAAACATAAAATAACAAATGTTGGCGAGGATATGAGGAAATTGGAACCATTACCCAAGGCTGATGGGAATGTAAAATAGTAGAGCCATGTGGAAAACAGCTGGCAGTTCCTCAAAAAACTAAAAACAGAACTACCATATGACCCAGCAATTCCACTTCTAGGAATATACCCAAAAAACTTGAGAGACTCAGAGACTTGCACATCAATGTTCACCGTAGCACTATTTACAGTCGTCAAAAAGTGGCAACAACCTAAATGTCCATCAACGAATGAATAAAGAAAATGTGGTACATATATATAAAATGATATACTACTCAGCCAGTAAGAGAAATGAATTCTTGATACATGCTACAAAATGGATGGAGCTTGAAGACATTATGCTGAATGAAATAAGTCAATCAGAAAAGCACAAATATTGTATGACCTCACTTATATAAAAAAAAAAAAAAGAAAGAAAGAAAAGGCAAAACGTACAGAGACCAAAGTTTACTAGTGGTTACCAGGGGCTGAAGGGAGGGGAAAAAGGGGAGTTACAATGATGGAAAAATCACATTGATTAAAGGTAGGGTTGCACAGTCGATTATTGTAATTGCTGTCAACAAGTTGTACCCTTGTAAAAAGTTGAACTGGCAAAAGTTGTGTGATAGATATATTTACAACAAGACAAATAAAAGAGTAGCTGCTGAGGCTGCATATGTACAACCAAATCCCTCAGGGGATTTGGTTCCTTGGTTTGGAGGTTTAGGTTCATGGTTTCATGGGACATCCATTTAATTGGCCCAATAACCCATTTAGTGCTTCTGTTCTATCTCCTAGTTTGTTGTGTAGTGGCTGGGGTCTTAAAAGCTTGCAAGTGGCCATCCAAGACACAACAATTGGTCTCTATTCCTGCAGCAACAGAGGGAGGAAAGTCAGGAATAGAAGGAGGAAATGCAATGTGTGGCTAACTGCTCTATGAAAAAATACCTCCTTTGCCACAAGACCAGAAGAACAGGATGGTGTCTGGCTACCATTACTTAATATTTTGATCAAAGATTCCATAAAAGAATCCTGATCAAAAGGGGGAAAACGCAGAACAGAATTTCAAATTCTCATGGGCTCCAGACTTTCTACAGTCATGGAGGGTGGATGAACCCCTGAAACTACTGCCCTGAGATAATCTTTAAACCTTAAGCCAAAAATATCCTCTTAAAGTCTTCTTAAAACCAAACAATAGCTTAGCTAACGAGTTAAAAAGGTCTCCCTTGAGCATTATGCTATTTTAGGATCTATATGCAATTCAATGACAACAGCAACTTAAAAGATTAGATAGGAACCTTAGGGAGCAGTGAGTTTATGTTAATGAGGGAGGAACAGCCCAGAAAAGGGGGGTGAGAATGGCTGCACATCTTAGAAGAACGTAATCAGTGTCACTAAATTGTACATGTAGGAACTGTTGAATTGGTGTATGTTTTGCTGTGTATATTCTCAACCACAACAAAATAAATAAAATTCAGAAGAAAAAATTAATATAAGCAGCTTTTATAAAATTCAGTCCATCTACCTGGTAGCATTTCCCCACGTTTCAATTCAGACATGATTTTGCTTCTAATAACTAAACAAAAAAGACCTAGAAATATGTTCCTCTTTTTATCTCACACATATTTACCTTGTAAACAGGCTGAAATTCTTCAGTCACTGCAAAAATGGTCTGAATGTTATTTTCACTGAGTTTCTGGACAAGGTGAGCAATAGAAGGATAATCCTAAGAAATTAAATAAAATATAGTATGTCACTGCATTTTCCAATCTATTCAGTTTTTTCAATACTTTTTGAAAATAATGATTTGCACATATAACTGGATTGCTTGTACAAGACTACTTTGAAACAAGAGTATCAAATGTAAGTAACTGAAGTGAGCAATGTGTATGTGTGGGCTTCTAATCCTCTTCTCTGTATTTTTATGTTTGTATGAAAATTTATACAATAAAAAGTTTTTAAA